CCCCCCCCCCCCCCACGCCCTGCCCGGGGCTCACATGCTGACATCTAACAGTGCCGACTGATGTTGCTGGTTTCTGTGCTTTACAAACATGAAGGGTGAGTGGTGTGTGTACGCAGTGTGTCGTCACCTTTTGTGCCCAGCTTCCCTGGCCTGACACTGTGCATGTGGCTGCAGATCGTTAATTCTCATGTCTGCGTTATATTCATTAACGAAGGAGGCTTAGACTCTTACCATGCCCCAGTCTGCTCAGGGAGAGCGTAGAGATTCAATGGAAAGTTACTATTTTAGACAAACAGTTGAGGACACCAATTTCCAGAGAGCAAGAATCTGTTGATTGCTGGAGACACTCAGGTTTCTTCTTCCGGGGCCTGAACCAGGGGCCAGAGAGAGGTGGAAGGGAATGTCATGTGATCAAGCCACAGCAACATAAGTGTCCTAAAATAGAGACCCGCAGGACCAAGGCTAAAAGCGTATAGACTCTGAGGTTAGCTTGCTGGTAGCACCACCATCTCCTGCACTTCTCAGCTTTGTGACCCCGGGCTTGTTGCTTACCCTCTCTGAGCCCAACCTCCTCTTCAGTAAGATGCAATTAATAATGGCACCTACCTGGAGGGTTGTGGCGAGGATGAGTTGAGATGAGCTGTGCATGTGCTGGGCGCGGGGCCTGGCAGGGGCACTCGGTAATGGGTGGCTGTTGTTTCAGTGACTGGGCTTGACCAGGAAAGGGCTGACTGTGTGCTGCATTTCTTAGTTGACCAGTGGCATCCAAGGGCCTCAATGGCAAGTGACTTAGGGACTGCCCTTAAATGTCAGAGGATGAACTGTCAAGGAAGAGTGAGAGCTGCTAAAAGTCCAACCAGCTCTCTCTGGGTTTCGTTGTCCTTGGATTCTTTTAGGGACATTTCCCCCCAGTCAGTGAGAAATGGTGAGGTCGCATGAGAACATTCACGGGGAACAGGTGATGAAGGAGCTGGAAGTGGCCATTCCAAATTTCCTGGGAGTTGCAATGCCAAACAAACTTTCAGGGACACTCGGAGGCACCTGGGGAGAGTGGAGGCCAGGACACAGAGCCCCGCCAGGAGTTCACGACCTCAGTCCTTTGAGCTGCTGGTTCTGGAGGCAGTGACCTTGTGCCAGGTGGCTTGGTATTGCTTCCTCTCTAAAGCAAGTGCCTGACCTGTCTATTGTCAAGTAAATGAAGTTCTTAACTGCTGACTTTAGCAGGCCCCTAACCCCATTGCAAGAGTAACCGCAGCCTAGGAAAGCATGATGTTTCTCTTTTGTGGCCATTGTTGGACAGGGATACCAGTAGAAAGGCCACTGCAAATTTTCACAGAAGCAAGGCTCTTCAATCAACTACTTTTCCCACTTTCCCAGTGGATGTGAACGTCATGCCTGTTGAAGAAAGAGTTTTCAAGATGGCAGCTTGTGGAGCTGCATCTGTTTGGCAGAAATGTGTGGTTTGACCTGAACTGTTTTAAAATGTTTTCATGTTGAGACAGCTATGTAAGCATCTGGAAAAAATAAAGCAAGTTCACTCTGCACACCTGGAACAGTTCCCAAATTCCAAATGGATGTAAGAGTTAAATGTAAAAAATGACTGTTGAAGGAGTAGGTAAAACATTGGAGAATCATATAAAATTCAGAAGCCATAAAAGAGATAAATTTGATTTTATATATATATATATAATAATTTTATATATATTATTAAATTTGATTATATATATATATATATATATATATATAAAAATATATATAAAAGTTTTTAAAATTATTATATATATATATA